GCGCTTTTCGAGCAAAAAAAAATCCCACTCGTAAGCCATTGTTTGTGTCGTGCATCATATTAAGTATTATACTTCCACCTTCTTCACATGACTTTGAAAAGTGTTGACTTCATCACACTGTGCACTTCTCTTCCGTTTTTTTTTTTTCGCAGTCGTCTCAAGCGCCCGCCCCTTCATGCTCATGGCTGCCTCCTCGGCGTAAAACAAATCGCATGACGCATCATACCTGGTTCATGTCCTATTGACTCTGCTCTGAGACACGCACGTTCTCACCATGCCCAGAGTCAAGGAAATGCCGTGCAAACAGTGCGGCCAGATATTTCCCAATCGAGGGGCAAAGGAACAGCATGTCTCTCGGGTGCGTTCAACCACTCGGCGATCTTTGGAGCAACCGAGGCATCAAATCTCACGATGCGTTGGCAATAGGTCCATCAAAAAAGCACGTCCGTCAGGCTCAATGGGCAAACCATCATGAGGCACCGAGAAGAAGATGGGAACTTTCATTGCCCGGTGGAGGGATGTGGCTACCGCCATGATCGCTCAGCCACCCTCAAATCCCATCTCCAGCGTGTGCATGAAGAGGAGACACCTCCTGTGCCTGCAACACGTGTTCCAACCAATGAATGCCCTTCCGCTGGTTTAAAACAAAGACGTGTGCGAACACGAAAGCGTAGCGTCAAGCTTGATAAGCAGCAAGGTGCTGTTGGGGCTCAGATGTTCATGACCGACATTGGCTGCTTGGTGACTCCCGCGTCTTCAGGGCTGGTGTGTACTCATTGTGGCCATGTCCTCAGTGGTAATGTGCCCCAACACCTGTTCAAAAAGCACCATGTTCGGTGTAGTCAAGAAGACATTGATGCAGCCACGGCGCTCCTGCGCTCTGAGCAGCCCGAGGAGCCAACAGAGGATGTTGCAACAGAGGCTGGGCCTCGAGCGCCTGTGGAAGGTATCCCCATTCTGGACGGCGTGAGTTGCCCCATTTGTCAGGCATGCTTCACGACGAAGAATAGCCTGCACTTTCATTTGCACAACAAACACGTTGGTGACCCCAATATCAATCAGCCGCCTCGACGAGTCAAGCTGCAAAAGCCGCTGCGCGGTGCT